ACAGAAGTAACAGCTGGAACTGTAAGCATAACAAAACATATGGAAAGATATCCTGGTACTATTATTATTAGAGTTTTGTGCTCCTTCTTGAGTTCTTTTAATTCGTGTGGTCACCGAATTCCATTATTTACTAGAAGAAATAAGAAGATAAATGAAGATAAGATAAGCAAAATATATGAATGCCATAGCAACTTCGAGAGGAGCAAAATAGAATATGATAAATTTAGTTTCTCGTGAACTCGTTAAAGGTAGGCTATCCATTTCTTCAGATTTTCTGCATCTGCTATGTGTTCTTCTCGGAATGGCCTACATGCTTGTCTACCGTAGTCTATGCGACTTTTTAGACGTGAATATTATAATGCGAATGGATATCTGAATATCTATAAATTAACTATAAAATAAAACCTATCAAGTATGTTAGCAAATCTTATATATATATATATATAATATTGTTCATATGGAATGCGATACTTCATTAATGATGAAAAGATAATAATAAAGAAAAAAACGTTTTATTATAGATGTGGGATTCCAGTTTCACTTGCAAGAGTCATCGCTGAACCTAATAAACAACGAGTAAATAAGTAGCATGGTTATAACAGTCGACTATTCAATTTTATTCGAAATTCTTCCATAAAATAACAAAATCCGATTAAAACTAAACTTACAATACAAGAATATCTCATGCAAATTCATGATAATAAATACAAACAATGATGATTGATTCCGAGAATTTACATATAGTTAGTGAAAAATTTATAAATACACAATGGTACAACTATAAAATAGATACATACGTACAAATAGATAGTATTCTACTAAAAATCACATATGATTTAATTTTCAACAGAGGAGACACATCGAAAGTGCTGGAAAAAAACATCTTAACCAATAAACAACCATTATAATCAATTTATCGGATAAAATGGATATTGTTATGTAAGAGAAAGCAAATCATATATTTATAAATAAATAAACTAACAAAATATATTTGAGTATCTGACATTCAAGATCAAGAGTAAGAAGCATTAAGAAAGATATCACTACTCTGTTTGAGAAACGCTAGGCATAAATGATAATACTTTGAAATAAGCAATAAAAACTATAGCTACTTGATCTATCGCGAAACCCGTTCTATACGATATAAAACTGAAAATGAGACAAGAAACAGAAAAATCAACAAACGTCTTTTTTTCAAAAATTAAATATTTCTCTTTGCTAAGATTATTTTCAATTTACCAAACCAAACTAATTTTAAGTAGTGACAATTATACAATGTTCAGAAACATATCATATCTGAAATGTTCGGATGAATAAATTTATCGCTATTTAATTTGAAATAATTCGATTTGAGATTTGTTAAAACAAGAATATACAAAACTTTATCTGTAGCCTGTAAAATCAGAAAATGTCACTTGAGTAGCATCTGCAATCTAAAAATGCAGCATAGTATTGAATTATTCTCATAGAAAAGAATCTTCGCAATAGTTCAGCATTCAAAGAATACTGAGATAAAAGTTTCATATCAGATTTTTACAAAAAGAAACAAGCTTCATATTCTAATTTATTTTGCAAAGTAATAAAATGTTGAAAAGTTTGGTTATCATGATTTTATAGGATTCCTTTTACGAGAACATCAATAACATGAAAATTTCAATATCGAAAAAGCTAATAAATAGATAAAGAGAGACTGTGGAAACAAATTGCAATGGGATCTTATATATTAAGTCATAGGTCCAAAAATACAAATTCATCTAATGTAAAAATACATATTTTTTTTATCACAGTGTGAATATCACAATATACATTTTATGGATCTCAATATCAAATAAAGCTATTGTGTTCAGCACTATTATCTGTTATCTAATCATACACAATCAAACAATTATTGTCGAGTTTTACTATTCTGCTGCTGTCTCGCAAGGTTCATCTGTGTTATCGTAAATAGATGAGGAGTACTCAAATGAATAGCTGCATAATCAACCATTGTGTACGCTTGATAAATTGCAGAAGTTGATGAGACTGTCCCGAGTCCTTGCACATACTTATGCGCGTCACTCATCTCAGTCTCGGTTTGTTTTTCTAACAAGTTCTGCAGGGACTTATTAGCTACTTACATCATCTTGCAGTATACCTGGAAACATTGTGATGTCATACTAGGCGCTCCGTAAAATTCAGTGAGACGTTGGCATAGGCGTGCACGCTAGTGCAAGACAGTTTAATCAATATCTGATACATTAAATTCAAGCAATGCTGCTTCAATCTTTGAATTTACAGTTTCAATAACAATACATTTCTTGCTGACAATAGCTAATGATGGATACTCAACTAAAGTAGGTCATATATCACTGTTTATATAAAGAAAAATCTATAAGTTATCATACTTAACTATGATTTCCTTTAGTAAAGCCAACTTGTCATCTAANTTGATAATACAAAATCATGATATCTATTGACAGTAAAAGTTTCAAGTCAAACACATATATTCTTAATGAGATATAAATGTCAGAAAAACTGCACTTTTTTGGTGATGGTGCGCCCTCAGAAAATATTGAATATATGGAGAATGAAACAATATTTTTGAAAAGAGCTTACGTGAAAATTCTTAGAACTCTTTCCTATGCAACATTACTTAAATTGAGTAAAATCTGACGACCTCGATTGAGCAGCTTCTGTGGGAGTCCGTCGTGGCTTATGCGGAATGGCTCATATATATTGATTTAATACAATAGAGTGTGTGAGGTGAAATCATAGAAATAAAATAAAGAAAATTCAAACAAAATTATTGGCAGTTTATTACGAATGTTATTCAATTAAAAAAGATAAAATTTTCTTTTTGAATCCATTGGATTACTTTCAAACTCGATTTAGTTTCAGCATTCAATTATGTTTAGTAAAATCGTTGTTATATTTCATAGTTGAATTTTCATAATCTATGCAGTTTGTAATGGTACCCATTTAATAGAACCGATTGTTGTTATAAATTGATTGATTTCATGATCAACCATCGACACTGATGTAAAAGAATTAACAAAATCACGTAAAGAATTTCTTCCTCGATGTGCATCTATACCTACTTATTAAAGTTTTAAAGTTCAATACCGCTTTGTAGCTGGATGTTGTTCAAATGAACAAGAAAATTCTTAATAGTTTATTTACTGAAAGTCAATTAAATGATTAACATTTAGAAAATAGAACAAAAATGACAAAAGAATCTTTTTCATCATAATGGTATGTCAACGGTTCATCGGTTTATTCAATTAAAGAAAGGATCATGTTATCAACGATATAATGAAATTCTTGGAAATAATCCTTATCGTATTAATAGAATTCAAATATGGGGAAAAAAAAGTAAAAGTGATTTGTTCAAAAAATGAACTTAGTGTTTATTATTGTGATAGAGATAATATTGAGAAAATTCAATTATATCAAAGTAAAGTTTTAGAAGTTTAGAATTAGTTATTAAATAGAATATCAACTATGATTATGATGCCATTTATCAGAAAACTTATTTTTTAATATGAATAGAAGTATGTTAATGATAGAAAGGAAACTTACTGAAACTGTTTCTTAGAATTAATCTTAGTTTTTCTTTTTTCGCTGTAGTAAATTTAATAAATAATAATTTGATATTCTATTATGCAGATTTGCTTTTATGACTTTTTTCAAGCTCTATATAGATGAAATTTTACAATGTTAAGTATAGAAAATCTTTGAGATACTTGGTTAATGATTAAATTAGATTAAATAAACGATACGATTAGTTTAGAGTAACGAAAAAAAAACAAACAAACGAGACATTTAATAAATCACTCTTATTTGTATTCTATTTTTTGTTTCTTTGGAATTTCTTTTTTAAATGAGAATGGAATTCTTCTTTTTATCTATTAATTTTTGTGACGGTTTTTTTATTTTGTAAAGGTCATGATTTTATTTGAATAAGGATCATCAATAATGGACGTCCAAATAAAAGTCACATTTTTTAAGCCCCCTTCCCTCTCTCGTTCCTATCCAGTTTCATGGGCTTCCTTTACCTGAGTTAAATGAATAGTATGAGAATAAAGAAAATCTCCATAGAGCATCTGCTTGTTCAAATTTACTGTTTATTGTTTCTATAATGACTCAACCTCTATGAGAAACCTATTTTTAACCCAGAAAAAATCGATCTGATTAAGAATTTTGGGAAACGTGTGTCCAAGCTTTTAAAGTTCACATTAAAACTTCAATCCAAAATATTGAAATATTCATGAGCTATTATAACATCAGCATTCAAAAAGTAGTTCATTCTCAGATAAAGATTTCTGATGCAAATCTCATGATACAGATTGTAGGTTAATTTTCAAAAGAAGTTAAGATCTGTTGGCTGAACTTAACGGAACCCACTCTTTCAAAATATTGTTTCTTTACCTTTGATGAAATTTTCTCTCCAAAAGTTTAAAAACATCTGAATGGTTCTATGTAGAAACATTGATTCTTTTCAAAAACTAAGTCTGAAAGGAATATTCCGATTCTTGTCGATTGCACAGCGTAATTTTCTTCTCAATCTTAACTCTTTTTGAGCTTTCTGACATGTAAAATAGCTGAGAAATCTTTGACTTGGAAATAGGAAAAAAATAGAAATCTATTTTGAGCAAAAAATACCAAATCGAGTTTGACGCAAGAACCTAAGTATCTTCCTCAATCAAATTGTATTAAAAATATACCGTGAAAAAGCATAATAAATTTCGCAAATGGCATCTCTATTAGGAACAGACATGTAGAATTATCGAATGGCGTTCAAATTTCGAAATCGATTGTTTTGATGAAAGTAGAGATTTCTGATATGGAATTCACGAAAAAAAAATTAAGAAAAACCGCAGATAAATGATCTTTTATCTGTTTGGAGTTCAATTAATTTAAAAATATTATTAAGCAAATTTATTTAATATTCTCTACTACAAATTTTTCTTTTGTATGTCAAGCTATTCTAAATTTTGATGTATTTAAACATATTTGTATTATTAAAAGTAAGCTTTTGTTGCTCTAAAATACAAATAAAAACAAATACAATATGTATATATGTCTATGTATCATAGACAAACCTTTCATAAAACTGATGAACTTGTTGAGTACCATCATGCGGTGTAAAACGTGAATGAATTCGTTCTTCATCATTTTGTGGAACAAATACTTCCATCTTCTATTGAAAAAAAAAGCACATATTAAAAAAAAATTGTTTTTATTCTAAGAAATATACTTGTGTTTCATAAGGTTTCGGTTGTTGATCTTCAACTTGTACTGGTATTTGTCTTTTACCAGTTGGTTTATTACTGAGAACATAATTTTCATTATAAATTTGTGTATGTTGTTGATAACGACGCCATAGAACACATAGAACAACGATAGAAATAATCGATAAAATGAATATAAAAATGGCTAAGACTAGTAATCCAATCCAAGGATCATCAATACGTTTATATACTGGTACACGAAATGAAGTTGAATCTATACTATTCATTCTTTCGATTAAAAAATCAACAAAAAAAAACAATAAAAATTACGAATTTCAATTCTAAATAATATATACGTATATATTCAAATCAATATCGAATTGAATTACACTATTCTTACTTTTATTGTCAAGAAATCTTTTCAAGGATTTTTCTTTAAAATTGTCAAATGAATATATGAATCAAAAAAGAACTTTATATTCTAGACATTTCCTTTTTCTTTATTCTTCATGTACATAATTCAATCACCAACAATGAATGACATACAAAAGCTGGTTAATCCCTATCTAGTCTGTACATATATATATATAAACTTGTGTGGGTATAACCAAGGAGCAAGAGCAAGGTAAATAGATTTTTAATGCAACAGATTGATTTATTCATTTTTCTCTTCACAAAAACAAATTGTCTTATCTCTTAGAATATTTATTGATGAACAGAAAGAACTAACTACAATATTTTCAAAAACAAAAGAAAGAAATTGAAATTTTTGTTCTATTTCTTCTTAAGTCGTTCAGCTAATTGATTATAAATAAATGCTGATGATGTTGCTGATGATTGCACTTGTCCATAATTTAAATTTGTCATTTTTTTGGCTTTAGACATAACTTCTTCTGATGCATTCATATCAACAGCAAATTGTTCTGATGACATTTTATGTCTTGCATCACGTGTTTCAGTACGTTGTAAATAAAAATGTGATATCATATGTATAACATTGCCTTCGCCACAATCAAATGTAATAAGTACAGCATATGAATTATATTTTTTATTTAATTCATTTGATTTAATTAAAACACGTACACGTTGTTGATCAATAATTTCAATTGGATATGATGATGATTCAAGCCACCATTGTGGATCAACATGTTTTGCAGCTGGTAAAAAGCCAGCTACAATTGGATTTGTTGGATCATTGACTTGTATTCCAACAACTTCATCACCAGTCATTTGACCATTATGTCGAACAAACTGACGTAAGAAATAACAAAAAATATTTAGTATATATAGGTAAATAATTAACTCACTTCACCAAATGCAACTTCAAGAACATTTTTTAAAGCCCAATCTGTCGTAATTAATTGACCACCATCTTCAACAAATTTACGTAAGCGAAGAGCAGCATTAGCTGGGAATGAAGTAGCACAATTAACATAAACTGTTTGATCTTTTGGACGAAATGGATAAGTTAATAATTCATGTTGATGTACAGTTTTAAATGGAATTTTTAAGCTTGTTAATACTTGATGTATATGATCATATGTACCAGGAACAACAATTACTGTATCATGTTCTATTTCATCAAGAAGTTTTTTATCTTCAGCTGATAATTGTTCACGAGCCATAGCTGAACCAAGTTCATATGCATCAGCCATATCGTTATTAGAAGCAACGTCTTGTTGAGTTACATATGAGTTTGCCATAGTTTGTTAATATATCACAAAGTGTAATATAAATGGTTATGACTACAACTTAAAACGTTACCAACATGCATATATATACCTTCATAAAAACAAATGAATCATCCAGAGCGTCATACTCTGTATATAGCATGTTTTGTCAGTTACATGTTAAAGATATTTTATTTTCTTCTGTGAGTTTTTTCTACGTGATACTACGTGACATATAATATTCATTCAAACCAGATTTTGCATTTTATTGTGAAATTACTAAGCAGGAAAGGCAAAAATCCCATAGCATATCTTTCATCAGAAATATAAAAGTCAAAGATGCAATAACATAAGGTTGTCAGGTTATTTTTATTATTCTCTTATCTGAAAAGAGTAAAGAAAAATTTAACAATTTCTTCGACGTATATTTTTAATCGACATCCAATGAGCAGTAGACCACCTATTACATATTGATTGCATCATTTCTGTAAGAAAAAATACATGTGATTCAATAATGACTGAGACCATAGATAAAAACTATAAATTATTAGCTTAAAGACGGCATAAAGATTGATGTTTAAAATATCGTTATAACCCTTCAAATTATAAAAAAAAAAACTTAAAAAAATGAAGTTTTTAGAAAAATTCTTTGTTTGAATTAAATGTAAGTGAACATTCGGATATTACAATAATTATAAGGATCATAAGAAAAAAAATCGATTGGAATGTCTGCTTACATCTATTATAATTGATGAAAGATTTTCAAGTTTTACAAAAAAAATCGTGACAAATAGTTGTCCGTAAAATTATTTTCAATAATAAGTAACAAACCATTGCAACAAAGATCAGATCTTGTGTAAATTAAATAAAATAATTAGAAATACTTATTTCTTGTTTTTTTTTCAAGTCTTTGATCATAAAGAAAATTCTCAATATCATTACATTATAAAAATGAAATTCGTATTCAAATCACTTGCTAATATATATTCGTAAGCTCATCATTAATCATTGTTATCTATTTCTGTCATCTGCTGCTATTAGTGAACTTTTGATTAATACTATTTATTAAACTTTGATTAGATTTATTCTACGATTAATTTTTTCTATATTTTGTTTTATTTGGAGGTAGCAAATTGTTTTTCTAACTAATTACTTTCATATCGTGAAGTAATTGTATTTAATATGTTCGACAATAGATAATGCAAAGCACAGATAAATGGATGATTTCTATTAAAAGTCTATTGAAAAGTTCATTGATACAAGTACTGTAAAATAAAGAACGATTGATTAGGAAACTCTATCCAATTAGTTTTCAGTAAATTTGAACTCTTGTGTATCTCCTAATATGAAAATTGATCGCACAATAATCACAATAAAACTTAAGGATTAGCTAGTGACGTTTCGACAAATGAAATTGTCTTCGTTAAACTTGCAAGGTAATCATCCGAACTGATACCTGCCGTTTGAAACCATATTGTACCTACAAGGACGTCCTGGCGAGGCTAGGAAAAAAACGAAAAATGTTCGTCTCCATAGACCTTTCAAAGTAAACTATCATCGTTTTACTGAATTTTCGATCCAGTCTTAGGTATACGCCGAAGAATAATAAAAAACAGAATTTCTATGCGAAATTAAGTCCATAGATAGATCGAATGATTCATAGAATATCCTGATAGTTTCAATTGAAAAGTGTTTTTTTGTTGAGATACTAAATATTCAAAAAAAAAGTTGTTTGTCTCAGACATGGCACTGGGAAATTAAATATCTTGACAAAAGAGCGTTCATTTTGACTGAAAATTCCAGCATATTCTATTTGGTTATTCGGCCTATTTTATGGGCAAACTTTCACGTTGAAATACTGGTGAGACTCATAGAAACAAACACTTTTAGATTTCTGCTAATCTCACTAAGATGTCCTTGTAGGCCTAACATGAACTCGAACGACGGATATCAGTTCTGGTAGTTACCTCGTTAATATTGAAACACAAAAAGGACCATTGTTATTTTTAAATGTGTTGTGATACTGATTGAAACTATAGACTATTTGTCTATTGTAACTATCTCACTATCATATGTTAAAACAATATAATATATCTGAGAGGAAAAAGGAAATTTGAATAGAAAAGAAATTTTTACATTGCGGTACTAAGTCTGAGGACGACACCTTCATTAGTTGAAACGTTACTAACCGATCTAAATTTTCATTATGCTATTAATTTTAATAAAACATATAAATTAAGAAATAAAAAAGAGTGAAAATATACTAAATACTTATTAATAAGGTCCTTTCTAATAACTCATTGTGAAGATCCAATCAAAGCTGAGAAGAATACAAACATGCATTTAAAATGATAGTGTAAAGTTGAATTTATCATTTGATATATTATAGTGTGAAAAGAACTTATGATCATAAAATAATCTGATTTATGTTGAACAGTTAGACTGATATCGTGGTAATTATTGAAGTGCACGGAATTCCACTATAATTTTGTAGCATAAAAACTTTTCTTTTCTAAATTTAAAAACACGTTTATCTCGTACCTCTTTTATCAAGCTTTCGATTTATATTCTGCAGAAAGTTATTTTGTCCTTCCGATGAAATAATACACGTATGACGTTATTTCTTGTCCATTTTAAAATTCATAGCCATACAAAAAATTATTCAATTTATAAAAAAAGAAATACTCAATGGAACTATTCGATATAAAAAATGTTTACATTACAAGTCCCAATGGGCTGGGTAGACGAAAGCCGGTCCATGAACCACTAGTCTAATTGCATTGAATAAACTTTTAACACATGAATGAGCAAGAATATTTCAAGTATCACATAATCGATGTATAAATAAATGTTTCTTAACATATTTGACAACAAAAGATATTTTTACTTTTTTATTTTTCATAACAGCCTATGTCAGTGATTGTTGTCTTAAAAGAAATCTGATCCTTTTCAAATGTATATTGTTTTGTATGTGATAATAGGAAAAGTTCAATAGGAATAGAATTAGAATTCGACGATGTCATAATTGTTAATAAATGAGCTCTTACTATTACGGTGTTATCAAAAAATCCAATCCGAAATTTACCAAAAATATCTATGCATCATATATCATCGATTGTAGTATTTAGACTACATTTTTTACTTTCTATTTCCATAGTACATACAACCCTTTATTGTATTCTAATATCACAATTATAAAATACACATGTGGCGCAATTCACATTTCTTTTTTAAAAACCATCCACATCAACCCCCTGCTCGTACGAATAAATACCTTATAAAAATAACATTTTTTTCAAAGACTTCCATCAATCGTTCGAAGTCCCTGTTTCAACAATAAAAAAAGTATTGTCAAAATATATATTCTATTGAATAAAATAAAAATAGTCAATGTAGTATTATTTATATACAGAGTAACAGTCTAAACACATATTTATTGTCAAGCAAACTTCTAAATTCACCGATCACATATTATTTGTTGTTTATTGCAGAAATATTTTAGCCGATGAAAGAGTTACATATGACTTTTCGAGAACAAATCATAAAAATACACATCTTATGAAAATTTTATATTTTATTCAAGATTCAGCCGAAGCGCAATACCGAATTAACCTGGCCCAGTTCATTGTGAGACCTTCAGTTTACATTTCTATTTAAAAAAGTATATAAGTACAAGATCATTGCCTTAATCGTCTAAATGATTTTTTGAATTTATTTAGTTTTCAAGAAAAAAGATGGTGAATATAGAGGAATAAACTACATACACAACAGGGTACAGATCCATATATATATTCAAACTTGTCTTTTAAAATAAATTGGATAAAATTAATAATGTTTTCTACTTCTATATATCCTTTTCATTTATAATCAACTCCAACGGTTGATGAATTTTTCGATGGCATTGATCCAACATTAGCCAATAACACTTTTAGTTCTGCAATAGCTTTTCCAGGATTTAAACCCTATTAAGAAAAAAAAAGCGAGAAATTTTATTTTGTTTATCAACTTTTTTATTATACCTTTGGACATGCTTCAGTACAATTCATAATTGTATGGCAACGATAGAGTGTAAATGAATCACGAAATTGTTCCATACGTTCTTTTGCGTATTCATCACGTGAATCAACAATCCATCTAAGAAGCAATTCCAATTAAATTATGTTCAATATACATAAAAAATAGGTGTTACTTATAAGCTTGCATAAGAACAGCAGGTCCAAGATATTTATCAGCATTCCACCAATAACTTGGACATGATGTTGAACAACAAGCACAAAGAATACATTCATACATACCATCCTAAAATAAGATTGTTTTAAATAAAATTTCCTAATGATTTGTTTTGTCGAAAAAAGCCTACCAATTTTTTACGATCTTCAACACTTTGATAAAGTTGTTTATCACCAACTGATATTGGTGTTTTGCGTTTTAAATAAGGTTCAATCATTTTATATTGCATATAGAAATTGGTAAAATCCTATAAAAATAAATTAATATATAAGAAAAAACAAAGAATTTGATATTATTACATACCGGAACGAGATCCTTGATAACATACATATGCGGAAGTGGATGAATTTTCAATGGCTTATTTGTCTCATCAATTTTGCTAGAAAAATAAGTTTGATAAAGAAAAAAAAAAACAATAAAAAATTTCTTCGAACCAGATACAAGCAAGTGTATTGCGTCCATCAATATTCATTGAGCAACTTCCACAAATACCTTCACGACATGAACGACGAAAAGCTAATGTAGGATCTTGTTCATTTTTTATTTTAATAAGAGCATCAAGAACCATTGGTCCACATCTTAAACAAAAAAAATTCTAGTCTTGTTTTTTTTCTTTGTCAACAAAAAAAACATACTCCTTTAAATCTATTTTGTAATCTTGTAAAAATGGTTTTTTGTTTGGTTCTTCAGGATTCTAAAAAAATAACAAACAAATAAATAAATAAAACTATTCAGTTATAATGAAACAGAATAATATACCCAACGATAAATTGAAACAGTTTTCATTTGTGGTGTCGCTTCACGTTTCCCTTCCGGTGCAGTGGTCTTAGATGCTGCCGCTGCTGCATTACGAACCTAAATTATCAAAATTATATTAATATAAATTTTTCACAACAATAATTTGAATATAGATACTTGTGTAAAAACTAGTCGACCTACACCACTAACTGGTGTTGTCGAATTTGCAAGTACACGAAACATCTAGATAAACAAAAATTTTGTGGAGATAGTATTGTATTCCGACAATAAAGAAATAAAAGTACACAAAGTTTTGAGTAATAGGTACATATTTTAGACTGCAAACAACACACCATTCATGTAATCATTTTAAAGATGTCGCTGAATAACATGCAAATAGAATTATTGTTATGTGTAATATGTAAGAGAAATATAATGATGAAGAAAAAAAACACAGATAATTCGTTCGAACTGAAAACTATAGACCAACAATCGCTATGATTGTAGTAATATATAAAGAACGACCAGCTCTGTCTCGATTACTTTTCAACAAAACAATGCACGACAAGAAGCTCTTGTTTATACTAATAGATTTTTTTGAAATCTAAAATTCTTTAATTAAGACGATACGAAAACTATAAACATTCATGATATTCACTTATCTTGACCAACAGAGAGACTCTGATTTCGTATCATAGGAAGCCTAAACTCAGTATTTGTTGATAGTATACAATTAAATTCGTATTATTCATTAATATTTTTCAACCTAGACCTCTTAATTCCTGTGCAGTTTTCATATTGTTAGTAGACAATGAGTGATTAATGCTATTTCGTTTGCTTCCATTAGTTATTCAAATTGCCATTGTTAACGATTAGACATGAGCGAGAACAATCGTTTTATTTCCGATCCCGGCGGAACTAGGACCGAAACCATCTTTCCCCTGTCAATTTAGGACACATGAGTTGTGACAATATGACATTCGTTGCAAACTTTACATTATCATAGAAGGATCGTGCCCAATGAAAAATTTTTTATCCTGGTTTCGAAATCGGAACTATCTTGTGCATATTTATTAATGACTAACGAGGAAACCTAGCTCTTCGAGCGTCAAATCATTCTTCGATCAAGACGACCTTTATTTGATGAGTAATAGAAATACTGAAACACTTTATTCAATTACCTATTCTAGTAAAATATTCTATCAATTAACAAGACTACTAATACGAATTGATCGATATATTTTATTGATGATTTATTTTTGCTAAAATAAAATAGTATTGGAATATAAATGCTATTTGAATTATGTTTATTTTTTTTTATACAAAAATAAGATAATGGTTAAGTTTTTGCCACTTGTGAAAGAATTGGTAGAAAATATTTTGGTGCAAGTTTAAGAGTAAGTAAATATGGTTCAGTATCTTCATATTCAATATCTTCTGTAAAAATTTGACGCCGAAATGGATCGAGAAAAAGTTTTCTCACTGGATAATTAACACATCGTCCCATACTAAGTTCACCTGGTTCAAATCGATGTTCATGTGGAAGATAAATTGCTACAGAAAGAAAATTTTAGTTTTCATTAAAAAAAAATAATTATATAAGTTTTATTACGATTTCGTTTAATTGGTCGATGAAAATCAGTATGTGATTCACCCAATCGTACAAGTGCTGTTTGTCTATAAACGAAAAGCAAAAGTAAAAATTTCTCATTAAGTATTCAAATAAGTAAAAAACTTAAGTTTACTTATTAATTTTTGGTAAAACAAGAATTGTATTATTATCAGGTTTTTCTCTTGGTTGATTACGATCATTTATTTGATCTTGAGTTATTTCAACAAAATAATTGATTACTTCCATTGATGATATATTGCTTGTAATTAAACGTGGTAATGCATCTAATGTTACTGTTAAATTTTTACCATTAACTGCTGCTCTTGTCTAAAAGAAAAATATAATTCAATTCAGTATTAAGATTTAATACAAAAACAGAAACCATACTGATAATGATGTATCACCAGTTAAAGCTCTTGATGTTGCATTACTTATTTGTGCATGTACATCACCATTCTTCAATCGAACATGCATTTCTTCAATATGTGTACGAAATGCTCGTGTCCACCTATTTAAATAAAAGAAAAAAAAATTATACTACAGTAATTTTTACGTATAGTATTGTGTCCTATATTCAAGTATAAGAGAAATATACTGATGTTAGATACACTAATGGATTATTAGCAATTATTATTTGTAATTGAATATTTAATTGAGATTAAATTATAGAAAAAATTACTTATTTTAAATAAAATTTTTTATTCTTGACTAGCGAGGGAACCTCTTCAGCTGTTCCATTGCGATGTCAATGCCTATGTTGTGAACAGTCTCTTCGATATATGAGACTTTCAAGATACTGATTCCTTTTCATGGATAGTGTATACAGTATGCATTTTTTTGAAAGCTTTACATCTTGAAGAGACTTGGTTTAAAACGTCTTAATTTTTTCTTATGGAAGCTGGTCCAGTTGAGTTATCTATGTGCACAAACTTTAAGATCAATAGGAACCCAAATTCTCTTAGCGTTTTTATTAGAACACTGCAGTATTCATTGACGAAAACCATTGAAATCGGAAGGCAGCGGTTGAAGAGTCTCTCTCGTAAGTTCATGCAAATATTAAGATTATTAAGTACCTTTCTTTCACAGAACAGAAACCCACTCTATCCGAACCGGCGCAAAATAGCAATTTAAATCCTCAAATATAATTAGTTTGTCTCTTTTCACTGTTTTGTTATAACTTCGTTGGTGTATCTTATTTCGTTTGTTCTACAATAGTCAGTATGACATGGGTATAGTATCCATTATTGAAACACTCATAAGATGTGAATGAGCGATTTCA